GCCAGTGTGTCTTTGCACTCGTTACTAACTGCAAATCGCTCGGCCAGAGCCGAGGGGGGTTCTCTAAGTCTGTGTTCTTGCTGCAGCCCGGGGATTCTAGCTATGGAGCTCCATTTCCAAAGCTTTATCTGGTTAGTGGCATTTTTTATAAGGAGGGCCTAGGCATTTATCATACATGGTGTGTAAGTCTGTTATGTATCGTGGACTCCTGACACCCAGGAAAGAGATGGGATGTGGAGGGAAGAGGGGGTAGAAAACCTGCCTGCTGGCTGTAGCTTCCAAGCTGCTGCTCCCTGCTAGAGATAATAATCCTGGCAGAAATGACTTGATGTGGATCTGATGAGCACCTACATTAGGCAGGGGAGAAAGCTGTGTTTACAGGCAGGGTCTTGTCAAAAGCCTTTCCATGGTCTCCAGGGAAGAGCATTAGGCCCTGGACAGAGCATCCTGTTTCTTCTTTGGCTGGGATGACCATGCAGAAGTCTGGTGTGCCAGTGTGCTGTGCCAGTGATTTCTTCTTAGAAGATCTGAGGAGTGACTCCTTCTCAGCAGCACAGAAATATTGAAGGACACAGAATGTGCCGGGCCTCAGCTTCTGGGGCAGAAGCCCAGACAGCAGGTGCTACCTTGTTGCCAGTGGTATGTGCTGTGTTATGGGCTGCAGGAGTCTATGTGGAAACTGAGTCAAAGGGTGCGTTCCAGACCTCATTTCTGTGCCTTTGTGTCTACTCTGCATTAACTGTGTGGATGCAGGTTGGTCGTGCCCCTGGGGGTTCAAAGCAGGAAGGTGGGAGGTCAGAGAAGCCTCTGGGGAGAATCCTCATTATAGCTGAAGAGGAATCGCAGATCAGTGTTGGGTGGGGCTATACAGAAGGGTCATCCTGCACTAGTGCACGCCCCCCACCAGCCGCCCCCCAGGAAGGAAAGTCCTTGGTGCTGCACTGGCTCCTGCTCAGTGCAGGTGCTGTTCCAGGTTCTTTCCAAGCATTAACTAATTTAATCCTCTTGGCAGCCTGACAGAGCTAACAACATTATCATTCCCATTTTATAGCTGAGGGAAGTGAGGCACGGAGAGGTTAGGGAATTTGCCCAAGGTCACACAGCTAGGATGGGGCAGGATTAGGATTCACACTCAAACCATCTGGCTCCAAAGCTCTCACTATTACCCCTCCTCAGTCTCCTGCCTGCAGAGCTGGGAGAGCCCACTGGAGAGGGGTTTTGCTTCTTGTTTTCAGTCTTGGTGCTTTCTCCATCCTCTTGCTCCTGGCCTTCCAGATCTTGTCTTTTGCAAGCTGATGGAAGATCTACATCATTTGAGATTCTGGGAGAGAGATCGTCTCAGATGACTCTTTTGCCCCAGAACAGGTTTGGTGTTTAGTTCTCCAAGATTCATGATAGTTGGTATTCTACAGGACTTCTGCCCTCCACATTTTCCTCCCGGGCATCTTCCTGGGGCTAACACCTCCTAACACCTCCCACTCCTTTAGGTCATTCTTAGTTGGCGGCTCCCTGCTCTTGTCTACACCACTGGTGTGCCTGGGATCTGGCCCTGTGAACCCCCTTAATCCTTGCCCTGCTCTCACTCACCTAAACTTCCTCTTAGCCCTGAGCCTGCAGCCTCAGGCTGTTTGTACCCACATGCACATGCACATGCAGGGCTCCTGGCACCAGCCCAGGCCTGCTGGTTGCCTGAGGGGAGCTAGCCTTCTCGGCAGGCCCAGGGATCCTATCAGCTCCGTTTGACTTGGGTTTCTATGCACAGAAAGTTCATGATGCATTCCTAACTGTCACTGAACATGTTCCTTTTTTCTTTTTTAACATGTCTTTGCCATTCTAGATGAAGATGCCACTTGTTGGGTACTTTCTAAGTTTGACCCAACAAAGCAGAACTGTTATTTATAGACATGTCTATTTCATGAAAGAGTCAAGGTATCTTATAGATTTACATATAGTGAACCAGAGAAGAAAATAAGGGGGAAAAGGTTAATGCCTTCCACCTTTTCTTCTTTTGGCTGAAATGATTCTCTTTTTTTTAAGATTTATTTATTTTTATGCAAGAACTGGGGTACAGGCTAGAGGCACAGGAGGGTGAGAGGATTCACCAAAGACAGAGCGGGTAGCAGAACAGGCAGGCGGACTGAAGTACACTGCTGAGGGGAGTAGTGGGTGAGGCAAGAGAGGTCTGCCGCACCATGTGGGTATCTTCCTGGCCGGCTGAGAATCAAACAGGTGCTGCAGAGGCTGCAGACAGCTTCACAGCGCTGTGTTCAACCTGCTGCACCACCGGGGAGGCCCCTGAAATGATTCTTTATCTAAATATCTCTCAGTAGGGCCTATTTTCCACACCCAAAGTATCTTGCGGCTTTTCTTCTGCTTATACAAGGCAGCACCCCCAACTCTGCTGAGAAGTCCCTGAGGACATCAGAAGAGAGAGCTGCAGATAGCAGGTCTTTTCTTCAGATTCTCTCTGCCGGGATTCATGGGGCCCCTTCTTCCTTCAATTCCGCTTTTAGAGAATTGCATCAAATCACCCATAACCTTAGGCTCAAGAAGTTGGAGGCTCATAGGTGAGGGTCCACTGTGACCGCCTGAACCATTTCTGTCTTATTCACATCTTGCTTGTCCCATGTTGGATCTGTGCATCACCCAGTTTTTCTCCACTGGCTAGCCTCCAAGTTATTCCTGGTCAGTGGATCAAATTGCCAGTCATTTTGGATTCTGGGCCTATCTTTTGAGGCATAAGCCCCACTTGCCAACTTTCGTCTTTGGCCAGTGTATAGCGCTTGCTCTTTATTTATGTGTCCCAGTTACTAATGGAGACGTGGAGGGTGTTTATCTTCCTTCTGGATCTCCTGATCCCTGAGGGGGAAAAAACTCTGGGTTCTTCCCTTAAAGCTTCTACTGTGCAGTTCTCCTTTTCCTACTAAATTGTTTCCGTATGGAACAACCAATTGAGGAGATGATTTCACCTCTTGTCATCTTTCCTATGTCTTCCTTGAAGTGGGTAAATTCCTCCTGACTGTTATTGGTTCCTGGCCACTGCCCCGCACCCTCCCTTTTTTTCATAGATCCCTAAATCACATCAAATTCTTTTATTTTTCAAGTCCCCAGTGCTGCCTTTCCAGTTAATGAGGATCCAATTATGAAAGGCAGCCGCTCCAGCTCCTCCATCTTCTACCCCGCCCCCCAGCCGTTTAGGATGACTTCTCGCTGGTGAATGTCAGCTGTTGTGGTTGTCTCCTAGGAATGGCATGTGTTAAGGACTTTGTGGTTTGCATCTGAGCAGTCAGGGGTGCCCCTCTGGGGGAAGGAAAGACAAGAGGATTTTTGCTTCTACAAAGGAAAACCTAGTGCCTGATCCCCTGAGTGAGTCTCATCACTGGGGTGGGTTCATGGTGTACTAGGAATGGCAAGAATTTATGGGGCTGCTGCTTCCAGGGGGTGGTTACCCCGGGGAGGGGTTCCACAGTAGCGGAGAATTCATTATATTTGGGGATCATTTGTTAGTGTCTCATTTATACCATCTGTATGAAAATAAACAGAAGCTGCAAGCAGAGCCTATCATTCCTGGAACTGAGTGGGGTCTGGCTTCCATCTCCCAAAGATGGCGTAGGCAGGGAAACATACCGAAGCTGCTGGAGTATTTGTCTTGGGGTCCACAGTGGGAGTGAGTCATCTGGAGGTGGAAAATATGGTCCTGTAAAAAAAAAATCTATACTTCTATCCCAGACACACCTCGCTCACTGAAGTTGACCCCTCCATGAATTTATCATTCATTCATTCAACAAATGTGTGTTGATTATCCGTTCTGTGCCAGAAATGATGCCAGGCACTGAGGTCACATGGAGGCAACAGCCATCCATGGTTGCTGCCTGCCCCAGAAATCACTCCTCCACTTGCTCTATGGCTACGCACCACCATTCTGTAGACAAGGAGGGCCCTTGCAGCACAGGGAGGTTCTGGAGCATCTGGACAAGGAGGGGATTTCACTCTGTATTTTTGCTTTGTTCCATCCTCGAGGGCTGGCACCTCCTCCCCTATTCAGAGGTTGTGTCCAGTTGCTGCATCAGGCACAGAGCGTTTTCCAGCACCCCACCTCAAATGACATTGGACTAACTCAGTTAAGCATCTTCTTTGGGGTTACTGGCTCCCCAGAGCATCAGTTCAGGTCTAGGAGACGGGATCTTGCAGGGTTTTCTCCTTCTCTATGAAGGAGATGTGAGTTTCCTTTGTCACTTTGGTTTAGGTGGCCTGAAATCACCCCTGGGTGCCTGCCAAGTGTCCACACGGTGAGCCAGGCATCCTCTTGTCCCAGAGGAGTGAGTGCTCACACCAGCCTTGGTCTTCCTGGAAGAGGCCCGAGAGACATGCAGCGCTGCACCAGCCCAGCATCCTCGGCATGGCAGACCCAGCTCTGCAGGGGGGACGGGTGACTCTTGCTGACCCTCAACTTGGGCCGGCTCAGGTTTAAGGAGGGTCACAGCACATTAACCTGCCATTTCTGTGTCTGGACCTCCATCCTAACCACTGTGGGGTTTTGTAGGGAACTTCCGAACCTAGTCTCCGTGGGAGGAGAGTAGAGGTCCTCTGTGAAGAGACTGATTCTGCCCAATGGGCTAGTGCCAAAAAGTCCAGCACAGGGAAGTCATTCCTTCTGCATTAACATCTCTTGGACCTCAGGACAGGAAACCAAAAGGGCAGGGTAAAAAAACTTGGGCTCTAAAATCCAAGCACCAGGAGTCTGCCCTGGCTTTGTCGTCTAGATGCATGACTTTGGGCAAGTCATTTAACCTCTGAGCTTCAATTTCCTCATGTGCAAAATGAGGATGTGGTTTACATGAGCACGGGGCCTCTTCCAACTCTAAGACTAGCTCGATGTGAATGAGTCTCAGATCCTTTTCTGAGATGGCCGGGGGGACACTAGGTGCTCGGGAGGGTGAGAAAGGATGTGGGGTGGGAAGGAGGGGCCGAGGGGCCAAAAGGGTGGGAGGAAGAACAGATGGGGCACAGATGAAAGCGCCTGGGAAACCCAGTGTAAACTTGGGTGCAAGGCGGGGAGCTCCGCGCAAGTGGATTCAAGGGCAGATGTGGCCCCTGTGCTGAGGACAAAATGGCAGGGCCGCTGTCCACTCAGAACACCTTTCTTTAAAGAAAGTGACATCCTGTGGAAGCCTTTGTGGTTTGAGGGAACAAATCACTCACACACTCTCTCCACCACCACCACCCCCAGAGTGCAGAATCTATTGAGAAAGAGACCCAGGATTGGATAGGGAGTTGCATTTCACCGTTGAGAGTGAAATGGAGATGAAGAAAGTGACTTGGGTTTATGACCAAAATGGGTTCCCTCATATGCCTCACCCTTGATATCTAAACCTGAGATTGGGGTGCGGGGTTGTGGGCTATCCTCCAGGGCCTCTCTGTGGGAGGCAGAGAGCCCAGGACAGCATGGCTACATCAGGATGTTGCCTCTGCCTGCCAGAGATGCCTGGGGCCATGGATGTCAGGTTGCCCCTGTCTCCCAGATACTTCCTTCCCCATGGGAGAGACAGCTAAAGTAGGAACATAGGTCAAAACTTCTCCCCAGGATTTACAAGACTGTTGGTTTTGGTTTTGTACTTTTATGCAGAGAGGTGGAAAAGGGGAGAGATTCCTTTTCAGGACTGGAACCCTCAGGATCAGCTTTGTGCTAGAATGCTACTTAAAAGGTTGCTTAGAAGCTAAGCCTGGGCACATCTGATCTTCTGTATTCTCAGTGCCTGCTGGCTTAGAGTAGGTGGTCAGTGATCAGATGGATGGGTGGGGGGGTGGATGGGAAGAAGCCCTGTAGAGGACCAGATAAGTCTGACTTTATTGACAAACAAGCTTTCTTTACTGCCATCTGTGCTTTGAAAAGACCTTTTCTAGGGCCTCCCCTGGTGGCGCAGCAGTTGAGCGCTGGGTTGCGAGGCTGCCCACAGCCTCTGCAGCGCCGGTTCGGTCCCCAGCCACTGGTGAGGGTCCCACAAAAAAAAAAAAGAAAAGAACTTTTCTAACCCAGGAGCTTCCCCAGTAAAGAGAAGGAAGAAATAAGAATCCTCTTGGTATTGACCTGTCTAATTTATGTCTTTCCTTCATGCCTGAATCTGTTTTCCCTTGCAAGCCTTCTGGGTCTGTCAGAGCCAGAACATGTGTTTGCTTTGAGAATGGAGAGACTGTGGAGGACTTTTCTGGTACTGGGCTTAACTGGGGAAGCACATGCTAATTAATTCCATCTACACACACACACACACACACACACACACACACACCCCTTTAACTTAGATTTGCTTCATGTATTCTGGGTGTCTTGACAAGTGTGCAGAATGGGATGTGTGATTTGAGGGGAGGCACCATGCCAGACCAAAAATAACTCCCTCTTAAACAGGTGCAAAGGTGCTTGAGATTCCACCATTAGGATTCATTCCCTCCAGCGGCACTATGTTAAATCCTGCTCCACCAGTTCTAACTATGCACTATCTTGAGTGAGTTATTTTTCTAAGCCCCGGTTTCTCCCTCTGTGCAAGGGGATCTGACCCAGTCTTAGGGGGCTAGTGGCTGGGTCACTGCAGTGCCAGCACATGCAAATGCTGAGTCAGTGTGGCCATGATTGGGTTAAGCACTAAATGCCCAGGATAACCTTGGTGTGATTAGTTGATCAAGTTTCCTCTATAACAGCATCGACTCAAGGGCAGGAAGAGCACCTGGCTGGGAACGGACTTAGAGGGGCATTGATGAAAAAAGGGATGAGGTTGTGGCAAGACGCAGGGCTAAGCCCTCACGGAACCCCATTTGATTCGTCTTATGCTTCTCCCTCTCTAGGCTGGGCTGCAGCTTCTCCTGCTATGATGCCTGGGCAGATACCGGACCCTTCCGTGACTGCCGGCTCTCTGCCAGGTCTTGGCCCCCTGACTGGACTCCCCAGCTCGGCCCTGACTGCAGAGGAGCTGAAATACGCCGACATCCGCAACATTGGGGCCATGATCGCCCCCTTGCACTTCCTGGAGGTGAAACTGGGCAAGCGGCCCCAACCTGTGAAAAGTGAGGTGAGTGAGCCTTGCTCCCCTAGGCAGAATCCAAGGGCAGCGGTCCCAGGTATGGCCCTGTGTGACCTGTTCAGTGTGCGCCAGTAGCATCCGTGTCACCCTGGGGCTTGTTAAAAATGCAGTCTTTGGCCCCACCACCGGCCTTCTGAATCTGTATGCATTTTAAAAAAGCTTCCTCTGGGAATGGCTGAGAAATTTGACAAGCTCCAGGTTAGAGCAGGATGCCGAACCTGTCTCTGGTTCATTGAGGGGTAAGGTAAGAGTGGTTAATAATAACAATTAGGAATAATGATATTTTGTCTAGTTCTCTGGGAGGTGCTGGGAGGATCAGGGGAAATCATGGAAATGTGCATGTGTTTTGAAATGTACAAGAGAATGCCAGTCGTGGATTTTCTTTAAAACTATTGCCACATCATTGTCTCTACCTCTCTTGGCCCCAGGCTGGAGCAGAATAGGGGGGTCTTAGAATAAGGATGGTGTGACCTTCCTTCCTAAGCAGCTGCCAGAGGTGGGCATGTTCTCAGTCACCCATCTTCTGCCTGGGTGATGTTTGCAGAGGACCTCCACATGGAGCACCCCCCCTCTTTAGGTCTCCTTGCAGCTGTAGCGCTAATCTTGCAGCTTACAGAAGAACAGCTTTCCCCTGGGGACTTGTGAGAAGCAGAAGTCCCCAGCACGGGTGAGCATCGGGGCGGTTCACACCAGCCACTTTCCCAGGGCTGGTGATTTGTCCAAAGGCCTGTCCCAGCAAGGTCCTCCTCAGGCCATTGCTAAACATCTGCCCACCTGGAAGAGAGAAGAAGGCTGCTATTGGTGGGAGGCAGGGAGGTGTCCGCACTGGGGAGGACATGGGAAGCGCTGAGCAGCATATGCTCAGGCCATTTACAGGCAAAGTTTCACCTGGGTGGGGCTCATCCTTTTGAATGGACCAGATAGTCCAGCAAAGGGACTCTTGGCTGGAGAAAAGTATATGGGTATTGACAGGAGAGAGCTGGGTGTATTTTGCAGCGAATGCTCTGCCCTCCCTCTTCCCATAAGTACCATAAAAACTGCAAAGGAAGGTTGCTGGGGGCTTGGCCAGGGGTAGCAAAAGGTTGTCTGAGGACCAGTTCTGGCTCTCAGATATGCTTTGTTTACCCTGCAGAGTGTTTTAAAAAGAAACTTGAGCCAACATTTCTCTTGAAAATTTGGATTTTAATCTTTGATTTAAAAATAGGGAGAAATGAGCACACCATGCTCTGATCTGGCATGGTCACAGCTAAATGGGGTGGAGTCATTTCACCTCTTTCCTCTCTCCAGTTTGCCACAGGCCCCCACACCTCCCTAGTATCAGTTTGGCTTGTACTGTTGGTTTTGCTTCTGTGGCTACCAGCTGCCTTCATTTGCCTTAACTGCATGGCCCTGCTAGAGACACCTGTGCTAGAGATGCCTGGACTAGGTGCGTTGCAGATGTCTGCTCAAGACTGTTGATTACAGGAAGGGAGCTGACTTTAATTCTTCTGACTTGACTTTGTAAGTCAAGGTGAAGGACTCTTGTCTTGGGTCTTTTGCTCTTCACCCTACCAGGCCCATAACGTAAATGCAGCCATTTCTGGGTTGTTGTCCCATATCATTGCCATTTGAAGCCAGTAGCTGAGAAGTTATCCTGGGGCACTGGTGCTGTGGGATTGCTGAAGCAAGGTGCCTTGGTTAGGGCCTGGCCCAATAGGCATTATTTGCCTGTGGAAAGGTGGGGCAAAGGGTTGCTACCTCTTATCCCCCACAAAAGGTGATGGAGGAGCTTTCTTTTCCTTTCTTTTTTTGTTGTCAAGAGCTTTATATTTGGGTTGGGTATTTTTACATCTCACAGCCTCCCCCAAATTGGTGGCAGATGCCCTGTACCTGACAGTGACGCGCCGTCCTCACAGGCACCCACAGGCACGCACCATCCAGGCCGTGAAAATAACAAGCCGTTTTTAGGGCGGATTTGCATGTCCTCTCCCTGGCTGTCAGACTGCAGCGTTGTGGGGGCGAAGAGGCAGATGGAGCACTGAAGACTGTGCTGGCGGGGAGTCAGGTCAGCCTTGCACGGGGACCTGACCTCCAAATGCTTCTTAGATCAGGTCCTGGGGTGTGTGTGAGCAGGAGTCAGCCAACTCTCGGAGTGACTACAAAATAAAGGGGATAGGGAGAGAAACTTGCTACTAGAGATCCTTAAGTCCCAATGATTTATTTGCATGTGGCAAATGGCTTTTAGAGGATTTTCATATCGGCTTTTTAGACTAGTAAAAGATTCTTGAACACTAAGGTACTAGCTTACATTTAGTAAGCGTCTGATAGGCACCAGGCACTGTGCTAAGTGCTTAATGTGCATAATCGCATTTATTCCTTACTCCGTTCTGGTGGTGGGCTCTCCCCATTTTAGAGAAGAGGAATTTCAGGTTCAGGGAGGAGGAGGTCAAGTGACATCGCTGCAAAGTGCCAGAGCTGGGGACTGCATTCATAAGGTGTGTCTGAACTATGAAGCGACTCTTGCTATTGCTACTCTTGCTGTTACTCTGCCCACAGTACAGATGTGGTCAGCAACTCACAGGGTCTCCTAAGTGGGAAATGAGTCCCGCGGTCTTTATCCTGATGCTTTAGCCTGATGCTGTGCTGCTTCATGTGCTCTGTCCCTTCCAGGCATCTAATCAGAGTTCCCAGGACTGGGGAGACCAAATGAACCTGGTCCCAGAACACTCATTCATTTTGATGACGGGGCCGTTTACGCTGAGCCCTGTAGTTCTGCAGCCTCATGGTCTCCTAGGTCCCCTGAGAGAGCCGGCCTGGCTGCTGTGCAGACTGCTCTGTCTGAGCTGGCTCTTGAGCTGCTCCCCTTGCCAAGGCCAGCAGACTCCTGAGACATGTCCAAATGAATGGAGCAGTTTGGTAAAAGAAAATTAGAGGAATTAAGTGGAACAACAGGTTTTGTAAATGCTAAGGTGCTTTGTGCTGATGATACTATATGGTTGACACAACATGAAACTGTTTTGGTGCCAACCGCTGGCCTGCAGTCCATTTGTCCAAAAACATATTTGCTAAGCACCTACTAAGTGCCAAGTCCCGTGCCAGACACTGGAAACTGAGCCATAAACAAGTTGACAAAGCACAGGAGCATCCAGAAAAAAGCAAATCCATAGACAGTGTAATAGGCCAGGTTGTGGTCAGCGTTGTGAAGAAAGATTAAGCAGACCAAGTGGTTGGTGAGTGGCCAGGCTGCTCATTTTGATGGTTAGCTAGGGAATCTGGGCAAGTTATATTCTGGGTTGTGGGATTTTTAGAGTCATTGCTTCTTTCTTGACTCTTTGTTCTTCATTCCTTTCCAATATTCTTTTTCAAAACAGCTTTGCTCACTGGCTTTCTCCAGAGCTTTCTACTTTGCTTTTCGTTCTACAGTCTCTTATGACTGGATTCCTTAACCAACCTGTCCCTATTGGCCTGAAGAGCTTGGCCCTTCCAGGTTGACCAAGTGGGCTGCTTATGACCGCAGGGGTCACACCCTGCCTCTGGGCCTGGAATGCATTTCCAGTAGGGAGGCCAGAAGCCCCACCCTTGTGCGCGCGTGCGCGCGCGCACACACACGCACACACACACACACACACACACACACACACACACACACACACACACACACAAGCACTTAACCTGTTAGGTGGGATCCTTCACCCTCTGGGCTACTCTGCACCACTCTAGATGGGATTTGGGGGAGTATGGATTAAATGACCCTTTAGGAAAGGAGTTGCAAATTTCCTGGGTTGGAGTCAGCTTACAGATGAGTCTTGTTTAGCCCTCAGGGTGGTTTTCTTTCTCTTTAATTGAATGAATTGCTATATTTAAAAGCCAGAAAATGTGGGCTTCTTAAAAAAAACCCAAAACCAGTATCTGACCATTCTAGACCCATGCCCTTATATACAAGGAGCTGGAGCTGAGTACTAGATGCTCACTGGATTAACATGCAATCTTTAGTTCACCACAAACCTCACTACTCCCTGTTGCCTTCCACCACCCACATTCACACGTCTGTGTCATGAGCCCGCTTTTGAGCTTGTGTCCTAAGTTTAGGTCTCAAGGACCTTTCTTTTCACTTCTACCAGACTGTGCTCAGGGCCTCACACAGGTTGTGTGTTGAATGCCCACTTGTTGGTTTGGACATTAATTAGCTGTATCAGCTTGGCCAGTCGCTTAAATTTTCTGTCCCTTCAGTTCTGTGTCTCTCAATTCTTAACCTTTTAGCCTTGTCCATGTGTCCTATGTTTTTCTGAACTTAACAATTTCAGGCAGAAAAAAAGAGAGCACAAAGAAAATCAGATCAACCATTCCCAAACTTGACTGATATCAGAGCTGCCTGGAAAACTTCTTATAAGCATAGATTTCCAGGCTGCACCCCAGGTCCATGAAATCAGAATCTGAGAAGAGAGGACCTCCCCTTGTGGCACAGCAGTTGAGCACTGGGCTGCGAAGCTGCCTGCAGCCTCTGCAATGCCAGTTCGATCCCCGGCCACCTGCGAGGGTCCCACATGGCACGCAGACCTCTCCTGTGGCTCCCACTGCTCCCCTCAGCAGTGTCTTCGGTCTGTCTACCTGTTCTGTTCCCTGGTCTGGCTCTGGTGAATTCTCTTACCCTCCCATGCTTCTGACTGTACCCAGTGCTTGTATAAATAAATAAATAAATAAATCTTAAAAAAAAAAAAAAAAAGAATCTGAGAAGAGAGTTCCAGGAATCTGTATTTTTAGTAAGCTCAGCGATGACTTGGCTGCGTTTGTGAACCTGATCCTAAACTGTTCATACCCCTCCTCAGGCTCTTCTGATCCTTGTCAGGGAGCATTCCAAGGGTCTCACCTTGAGAAATCAGTGCGTGCATTCCAGTGTGGACTGCCTTTCCAGTGTGGTGCTGTTTCCTGCACAAATTCCACAAGGCGGCTGGATCATGTCCTTGTCGTCTTGAGAGCAGGAGAGACAGCTTAGCTGTTTGTACATTTCACCTGGATCCTGTCCCGCCTCCTCTCGGGACCCTGGAGAACATTTAGAAGAACTGAAGTGTGAATTCAAATCCGTGGACTCTAAGGGGACATTGGAATGTGTGCTCTCTCAGCCACAGGTGGTCTTTCTAGAGTTTGCTCACAAAAAAATAAAAACCCAACAAAAAACCCACCCAAATGCTCTTCCATGTTTAGCCTGAGCATAAAAAGTTGCCCCAAGCCAGCTGATGTGCTGGGTAAATGTTGGCGTAAACTTGCTTGTGTTTTTAGTGATTTAAAATATAAAGGCAGCCCACTGACATTTTTTAACAAGCCTTGCATAATTGGCTTTTAATTTGTGGCTCTTTGGAAGAGCGTTGGCCTCCTTCCCCCTGACTCAGAGGCTTTTTCTGTCTCATCCCAGTTTGGCAGACAGATCCAATCTGATCCACGGAGGCTTGGAGCCGACTCTCCCGACTCATCTTTGAAACTCTGAATTTCCTCTTTAGTTCCGTCACTTTGTTAGCACATATTGAGAAGAAGCTGCTAACTTTTTTTCTTTAATAGTTTAATTCGAGGGAGAGTGAGTGAGAGCTGAAGGCAGCTGAGTGTGTTTAGCACTGGCCCCCTTGGTTTTGCATTGCGTCTTACTTGATACCACGCCCTGAGCATTCACAAGGGTTTTGAAACTCGTATTTAATATCATAGGTTGGTCACACCCACTGTCCTAGCACAGAGTCCCTTAGAGAGGCAGAGGGGCCGTGGCTGCCTCTGGGTGTTCTTAGGGGAAATCTGAGCCCTCTGCAAGTTCAGGGAGCCCTGTGCTCCCTATGTGAGCTCTCTGGCCTCGCCTGGCTGTAGTAATGAGACGAGCTAATGCAGGTAAGGGGTTTCACATGATGCCAGCCACTTAATAAGAGACTTGAGAAACGTGAGCTAGATTGAGATTTGCTGTTCTCAAATGTGTGGACTGTGCTCATTTATTTTTATGATTGACTCAAACACTGGACCCTGTTCCTCAAAATTCCTCTGAGGGTATTTTGCCCCTGCAGGTGTTGAGTGGTCTGAGGTCTGGAGGTGCCCGGTGTCGTGGGAGGAGGGCATCATCCTCGCTTTCCGACCAGAGGGGCTGCTTCGGACTCCTGGGAGAGTTCTGGGCTTGGGTTCAAGCTTCTGGGTGGAAAGTCTAGCTCTGTCGCTCACCTGCTGGACGAGTCAGCGGGCCTTCTGAGCATCACTTTCTTCATCTGTAAAAGAAGGAAACTGAAACTCAGTCTTGAGGTGAAGACGAGGCTGTGGAAAGATGGTCTCAGCTGCATGCACGGGCTGTCAGCTGCCTTCACCAGGGGCTGAGTCCATTTGTAGCGAGACCCCCCCCAAATTCTCACAGCACTGGCCTTTCCAATGTTATGCCTAAAACCTGGGTTTCAGGGAAGCAGGCAGACCTTCCTGTTTCTGGTTGTTTATGCATTTTAGTTACCATCACAGACTGTCAATGAGAAGGCCCTTCAGCCCAGTTTCCCCTAAGCTGCCTTGTGTGACCCCCTTATCTTGTTTCCTGTCGTGTTAAGGTCGTGGCTGGATTCCCATGGACCATCAGTTTTTAGCAACCCTTCAACGTGACCTCTTCTGTCAATGCCACTCATCTTACTTTGTCCTCCCCAGACCCACTGGGCTCAGCATCAGGAAAGGCAAGGCGCCTCTGGCTGAACTCTGGGGCCAGCCAAGTCACTCTCCCCTCTACTGTGTCCAAAAGGCACAACATAAGTGGACTTTAGGGCTGGAGCATGGAGACCAAGAAGGACAGACAGGTGGATTTGGGCAGGCAGGCATAGAACTGACGGGAGTGAGTGCATGGCACTCCTCTGGGTTCAGTGGGCCCTGAGACTACACACTTTCTGCAGCGTGCTGGGGCTCCTCCTAGACTCTCCTTTGCTCTCTGGCTGCAGGGGCCCTGTCAGGCTACCAGGCAAGGGCAGGCAGGTCATGCAGGTTCATGGTGGATTCAGGCAAACGAATAAAGGCATCTTGGGGCCTTAGGTAGATGTGAGACACCTTTGATGCTGAAGCAGGGAACCGGATGCACCCGTGGGCAGGCAGAGAGCCCGGCTGGCAACAGTCGAGCCTCCTAGCGCCCCCTTGTCTATATTTACAGGTATGCGTGCCCGGCTCTCTGGCTTCTTGGCCTGGGTGTCCGAAATTACAGGTGAACATACCCCGCGCTCAAGCTCCCAAGCACCCTCCTGCTACAACACATCACCCTGTGTGGGTAATGCAGCCTGGGAGCGAGCAAGGCCACAGGTGGTGGCTGTAGAGGCTGGCGGTGGGAGGTGAAAAAGAGCCTGACTGCCTCCATTTTCCCTACAGCCCCCCACTTTACTAAGCATAGTGCTTGTGCATGCTCTGGGTGATGGGTTCCCCCATGGTTTGCCTCTATAACCCTTCTCCTGGCCCCCCTCACAAGCACCACCAGTAAAAACCCTTGGCTCTCTAGAAGCATTGTAGCAAAGTGGAACGGTGGTGCTGCAGCCTTCTGGCTCTGGAGTGATTCCTGGACCTTTTCCTACCTTGTAAAAATAGGGGAGATGTACCCATTGAGAGCAGGTAGCCTGCTACACACCGTATGCAAAGGTTAATTCAAAATGGATCAAAGACCTAGTGGAACAGCTAAAGTTATAAAACTCTTAAAAGAAGAAATAACTCTGCATCCTTGTGATCTTAGAGCAGACAATGTTTTCCTAGATATGACACCAAAACCACAAGCAACAAAAAAATAGATAAATTAGGGCCTCCCTGGTGGCACAGGGGTTAAAGATAGTGCTATCAAGCCATTGCCAGCTGCTGCAGCATGAGTTCAATCCCCAGCTGGCCAGGGAGCACCCACATGGCACAGCAGACCTCTCCTGTCTCACCTGCTCCTCTCCTCAGCAGTGTATTTCAGTAGATCTGCCTGTTCTGCTCCCCACTCTGTCTCTGGTGAATCCTCTCACCCCCGCCCCCTGCACCTGGCCTACGTAAATAAATAAAATAAAATCTTTTAAGAAAATGGATAAATTAGACATCGAAATTCAAACCTTATTTGCTTCAAAGGACAGATAGTAACAAACCAACCACAAATGAGAAAAAAAAATTACAAGCTAGAGATCTGATAAGGTAGTTGTATCTATAATATAAATAATTATTATAACTCAGAGTTAAAAAGACAAATAGCCCTATTTAGAAATGGGCAAAATATCTCAATGCACATTATCCAAAGGAGATATACAAATGGCTAATAAGCACACAAAAGGTTGTTCAACACATTCGCTATTAAGGAAATGCAAATCAAAACCATAATGAGAGCTTACTTTATACCCTCTAGGAGAACTATAATATAAAAGACAATAACAAGTGTAAGTGAGGATGTGGAGAAATTGTAGTCCTTATAAGCTGCTGGTGGGAATGTGAAATGGCATAGCGCTTTGGGGAGCAGACCTCACAAGGCTACACACACTTATGCTGTCACCCAGCCATCTCCTCCTAGGTCTGTGTCCAATAGAAAGGAAAACCTGTTGCATGAAAAAAGATATTCCCAATATCTTAACAGTGGACAGAACCCAATGTCTGGTGCATGGGTAAATAAAATGTGTTGTATTCTCACAATAGGATAGCCTTTGCTCATAAAAAGGAACCAAGCACTGGGTGACCCGTGAAAACATGCTGTTCAGTGAAAGAGGCAAAGAACCACATATACATGATCCCATTGACAGGAAATGTCTGGAACAGGCAGATCCATAGAGACAGGACGGAAAATCATTTCCCTGGTGTCGAGGGCTGGCGAGATGGGAGCATGGGAGGGTGACATTTGAGGGTTGTGGGGTTTCTTTTGGAAGTGATGAAAAGGCTGTAAATTGATTATGGTAACAGCTACCACAACTCTAAATATACTAAAAGCTATTGATTGTATACTTGCGGTGGGAGAATTCTCTGCTATATGTGACTTAGATCTCAATAAAGCCTTTTTAAAAATGGGGGAAGAATAATAGTATCTACCTCACAGAAATGTGGGGAGGATTAAAAGGGATAATGACTTCTCAGGGATCATTCATTCATCCAGCATTTATCAGCGTTCCAGAATTGGTATCTATGGTTGTTAAAACCTTCTGGGCCAACAGCAGTTAGAAAAAGCCAGGATCTCGTTCAGGGCATTTTCTCTACTTTCCTGTTATATCCCAAAGCAAAGAGAACAATCTGGCAGGGTTTTGTATGGAACTTGGGAGGCTATGTGATGTAATCCTGACTACTCATTAGGAGGAGAGCATTTACAAAAAATACAGAGTTGGAGCCCGGAGATTCTGATTCATTTGGTCTGTGTAAGGCCCCAGGTTGTAGCCTGGAGCCATTGTCGAAGTCCCTGGTGCAGTATAAACCGGTTGGGGTCTTTGAAGGTGTGGGGACACCTGGGTCCAGGACAGAGGTCATGTGAGTAGTGCACTTTATGGTTTGCAAACTGCTTTTGTGGACATTCTTTCCCTTTGATCTGCTCAACAACCCTAAGACTAGGTGTAATTAGTACCATTAAGTGTTAGTGACCTGAGGCTCAGACATTAATTGACCAGGGTCTCACTTTTTATTTTTTATTATTTTTAAAATACTTGTTTATTGTAGAAGAGCTGAAGTGTAGGCCAGAGGTGTGGGGGATGAGAGGACTCACTAGAGACAGAGTGGGGAGCAGAACAGGTGGATTTGCTAAAATACACTGCTGAGGGCAGCAGCAGGCAAGACGAGAGAAGTCTGCTGCACCGTATGTGGGTTAGCTCCCTGGCCAGCGATTAAACTCAGGCCATTCCTGTGATAGTGCTAAGACTTAACCCCTAGGCCACCAGGGAGGCTCCAGCATCTCATTTTTTTTTTTTAAGATTTATTTATTTATGCATACAGGAACTGGGGTACAGGCCAGAAGTGTGGGGGGTGAGAGGATTCACCAGAGACAGAGTGGGGAACAGAACAGGCAGACTGACTGAAATACACTGCTGAGGGGAGGAGTGGTCTGCCGTGCCATGTGGGTAGCTCCCTGGCCAAGGATTGAACTCGTGCTGCAGAGGCTGCGGATAGCTTCATAGGTTGCATCTTAACCCCTTGCGCCACCATGGAGGCCCTCCAGCGTCTCATTTTTAAAGCATAATTTAAACACTAGCACTAAAAGAGCTCTGCCAAGGTGAAATCTAGTGCCTGGTTAATTTATTTTGCATAGATTTCAGAGCAGAGCCCTTCCTGCTTCTTTAACCAATAAACTCTTGAAAGTGCAAGACAAACAGATAAAACATCTATCTGTGTGTGTCTAATATATATACACTCACCTTTGTAACTACTGATCTGTGTGTGCGAGGAAAACATGAAAGAAATAATTTGGACCCTGATGTAGTCGGAAACTTTCCATTGTCTCCATAACCTGAGTTAAAGGTTTAGCATCAACCACAAGACCTCTCATTGTTCTTGCTGAGTGACTATTCTAAGTATATGAAATTGCGAGGCCCTAAGTTCTGCCTTCATCTCTTTAGTATATTACTTACCCCTTGAACAAGAGACTTCTGCTGCCGAAACAAGTCTGAAACCCACTGGTTTATGTGGGTGCTACTCAAAGTGGGGTCTGCAGGCGCACACTCCTGCCCTCCTGTGACTGTGCAGATGTTTCTCTTCACCAACCTCCTCCCTTAGCAAAGCAGCAGAGGCAGCTCTCCCCGCAAACTGCCTGCCTGTGACTATACAGACTGCCCCTTTGACAAACCTGCCATTTCAGGGGCAGCTCTTTCTGCCTGCTTGTGTCTGTGTAGGCGTCCTATACAACTCTCCTTATTAATATACCTGTTCTTTAAAAAACAAAAAACCACAAAGTGGATTCTGCAGCCTGTGGCACCTCTCCCTGGAGCAGGTTAGAAGTACAGGTTCTTGGGACTGACCCTAAACCTTCTGAAGCCCATTCGGTAGAGGGTGGAGCCCAGCTGTCTGTAGTGGGTCCTTCCGCGGATTCTCTTGCTCTCTGCGTGTTTAGATGACCTGAGGGTCCTTTCCAGTTCCTACTGGCAGTGATTCTCTCTGAGAATGGCTACAAAGGTCTAAAATTTTCCTTCGAATCTATCTCAGGCTTTCTAGAAGGACCGACATACCATCAAGTATTCATTAGCATGTGTGATATCCGAGTCTGTGCAAGCCAGGCAAGGTTGTACTCTGAGTCAGCAAACACCTGAGTCTCTCCAAGCCAGTTATT